GCCAGTAAGGATCAAACTGCCAAATTTCAGGCAGCCAGCAGTCAGCAGAAGTAGCCTACAGTACTGCACCATAACCACTGCGCCACCGCAGCTTTACCTGTGCCACCATGGCCCAAGTAGCCTTTTGCCTTATAACCACAATTGGGATCAGAACTTGCATTAGCAATAGCACTTAAGACTTATATGCCGCTTCACAATACTTTACAGCCCTCTCTAAGCGGTTTACAGAGTCTGGATATTCCCTCAACAATCAGGGTCCTCATTTCACCGACCTCGGAAGGATGGAAGGCTGAGTCAACCTTGAGCCTGTCAGAATCGAACTGCTGGCAGTGGGCAAAGTCAGCCTGCCATACCACCTTCTAACCACTGGGGTGAGAAGGCAGTATGGCAGGTTGCCACCAGGGTTCTCTAAGCAATGGGGTCAGTTAAGTACGTTTGTGCCTAATTTTACGACCTTGTTAAGGGAATTGCACAGCCATGAAGGACATCCTTGACCTTGTTTCTTGGAAGCCACCCGGGAAAGAGACTGTCATGTGACTCTGGGACGCTGCAAGCATCATAAATACATGCTGGTTGTCCAGCAACCAACGTGTGAATGTAGGGATGCTGCCATGGTCATAAGTGTGAGGACTGGTCAGAGATCACTTTTTCATTTAACCCTTGTTAGATGAATAGTTGTAAGCCGAGGGCTAGCTGTACCCCTTTTTATTTAAACTAACCAAGCTGGTAGTCAGTAACACAAGCATGTCTTGGAAAGGTTAAGCCTGCACCTCACTTTCCCTTAGAACAGTGGCCTCCAAACTTGGCAACTTTAAAACTTGTGGATTTCAACAACTATTTCAACTATGCTGGCTGGAGAATTCTGGGAGTTGAAGTCCACAAGTGTTAAAGTTGCCAAGTTTGGGGACCCCTGCCTTAGAATAATAAACGCAATGAAAATCTCTGCACTGTTAAATCAAAGCAAGCCTCGCTGAGATCAAAGAACCTCATTCACATATGAGGGTTAAAGATAGCGTTAAAATGCTCCAGATAAATAGATAAAACAAGTGTGTACAGCAGGGGGCGCCCAACTTCTGGGCCGCAGACTGTTTCTTTAAAACCGGGCAGCAGGAGATAGGCAAGCCTGACACACACACACACACACACACACACACACACACACACACACACACACACACGAACACACCACCCGGGGCTGCCAAGCTTGAAACTGCTGGTGTGCAGGACTCATTGAGTCATTCTGTACCAGCAACAAACCCCAATAATGCCACACCCCTGCTTGAAACACAAGGCTGCTATGTATTTGTTTATTTATTTATTTCATCTCTCACCTTTCATTATCTTTACAAATAATTCAAGGCAGCCAACATACTGAACACACCTTCCTCCTATTTTCACACCCACCCACCTAATCAATCTCCGGTAGGTATTATACTGCAGATACTGTCAATCGCTGATCCTCAAGCGAGCCACAACACAATCTTTTACCAACTTGATATCCTGCAGATTCGAGATATCAAGATACCTGATATCACTCTGCAAGATTTTCATGCCTGAGATTCATTTTGGCTGGAAGGTTTTGTAGTAGCCGAAAGGACAGGCATCCACTTAAAGAGGTCTTAATTTTTTCCAGTCTGTATTTTAGTTGCCCTACTGACTGCAGCAGGAAGTCATGAGACTGAATATCTGCTCTTGGTGTACCGGGTCATTTTTTATGACTAGATCCACACGTTCAGTTAAATCATAACCCTAAACCATAATTTATTAACTGAATCACAATAGGTTGGGCTTGCTGACCTCAAGAATTCTTTTGAGGAATATAAACATGACTTATGGACAACAGCATCTGAGCAATATGGTTTCCATATTGTAAGAACCCAATCATTATCATCTTCATCATCATCATTCTAGCCATTGTCTATCCACTGCAAGATGAAGGCCTCTTCTGCATGTTTCCAACCCATACAGTCTTGGGGAGAACTCAGTCAATTACGGCTTAATCAACAATGATCTAAGACAAAGCAGACCCAAGAGTAAACTTCCTTGCTATCACAAGGAGCAAGCCCCATTGAATGCAACAAGACTTACTTCTGAGTAGTCACAGAGAACTGCATTTTCCCTCTGAAATTAAACTCCCTGTTCCTTTTTTTTCCTAGCAATCTCCTTATTTCCAGGAACTACAACCCGTAGGTGGGATATAAATATGCACTCATTTTCAATGGAAGAGCAGGAATGCGTCACCATGTAGCCGAGTTGTTACTTGTCTCACCATGCTATGATCAAAACAGGGCATCAGCCCAACCTCCCTCCCTGTGAATTTCCAACATTCTCTCTGCCTTAGCGTCCTTAGTTGTGCATCCCTCTGCGTGCTAAATTTAGAGGACTTTGCAATACACAGACACACCGTGGGACCCAAGCATCAAAGTTGGCAAAGAAAGCTAAAACAAGGCTATTAATCCATTCTCCGAGAAGGCCAAAGACACACCCGGAGTGGAAGGAAATACACCAGCCAGCCAAGACAACATTAAAATTGCTGTCTCTGCGGTTTCGTTTCTGATCTTGATAATTGGATCTTGTTTTGATTTCCCGCCATTTCCCTCATCTCTTCTCCTGGGCAGCAGACAAGCAGAGAATCACCAGCTCAAATGAAAAGGAAGCCATCTAATGAGAAGCTATTAATATTATCCTAAAAGTGTTACAGGATCAGATTTTGAGGGGAAGCAACTTAGCACTGTGGGAACCTGGCTTTCCTGCAGCCTAAAGTTCCCGAAATAATTATATTATCTAAAGGGCAAGGCGTAAATAAGGACATTAAGTTTAGCTTTAAACGTTATCTAATGACATTTCTGGAAGATCCTAGAAGTCAGACAATTCTAATCTCCATGATTATATTACTAGAAGTCAATCACCCAGATGGGAATAACCAAGCTGCTCCTATGTAAGACCAGATCAAATTTTATTATTAAGCACTTTCCAGTTTATATTGACTCTGGCCCACAAGTGTTTTTTTTTTCCCTCCAGAATGATCTATCGTTAACCTGGCCAGCTTGGCACCTCTTCAAAATGGCTTGAAATTGTGGGAGCTGAATTTCAAGATACTTAGGCAACACTTGGCTGGATAAGGCCAATATCTCAGAATTTATCATTTGGAAAGGTAACCAGTCGGAAGTTATTTACTAGTTTTTTACTCAAAACATACCCAATCAGGCTAAAAACTCAGCAACTGTGTGTGTCCCAAATTTCTGAGTTTTATTGGGGTTCAATGAAATCGGATTTTAGGCTCTTGAATTATGGTAGGAAGACCCAAAGCATAGGGGATTCAGCATATTGTGCGAGCTCATAAAATAGTTCAATTCGGTAACTAGAATCAGCCAATTGTGTTCATACAACCAGTAGATCTATCCTAGTTTCCAATAAAAACTTGAATCTGGGTGTCCTTAACCACATCCTCACATTGTTCCTTTCTGCTCAAAACCTATTTGCTTTTGATATCCTTTCCCTGAATTGAGATTATTACAGCAGCCAACACCATTAATGTACTTATCTAGGAATTATGGCCAAGAAGTCTGAAAAAAAACAGAGCTGTGGGTCAGCTGACTTAGAGTTTCAGTGTACAGTTGATTTAGCGACACACAGATGAGGTTTGTTTTTTGCTTTCAACACCAACACAACATAAGCAGCTAAAACATGCAGGGAACTTTCTTGGAGGTGTGTGGGGGTGGATAATTTTATTGCGCTTGACCTAGATCAAATCAGGCAGGGGAGCACAGCACAAATTCACATAAACATGTAGTCCAACTATTGAATGAACTCATCTTTTGGGTTGTAACACACACCGAAGGAGACTGTCCCAAGCACAAATAGCCAAGGTTACACAATGCATTAAGCCAGGGGTCTCCAAACTTGACCGCTTTAAGACTTGTGGACTTCAACTCCCAGAATTCCTGAGCTAACCTGACTGGAGAAATAATTCTGGGAGTTGAAGTCCACAAGTCTTAAAGCGGTCAAGTTTGAAGAGCCTTGAGTTTATGCATAGCCTGGGAGGGGGGAATCCACCGGACGCTTATTGTGCAACCCCCATTCGTAGCCCCCAAGTATCGCAGTTTTAAACTGCAAGCTGAGGCTATGAAGAATTCATTCATTCATGTGCGCCTTCCTAGCCTGCTTTTTTTTTAAAAATATTGTTTTTATATCACACATTCCATTTCTATATTGAACAGTACATTTTCTAGGTATCCAGTGTTGAAATGTAAACATCATAATCATATCAACATACATATACCATTATTAAAAATAAAGTATACTATCTTCCATATAAGCATCAATTATAGAACTATCAAAATCTTTACTAATCAGTTTCTTTTTCCCCTCGTAGTCCTCATTTTCACATAAATCCACTCATCTTAACCTCTGTAGCTATCAACTAGCCATTTGTAAAAAGGATTCCCGTGTCATAAAATACTCCAAATCTTCCTGGCATGTGGTGGGGGGAAACCACCATCCCCTGGCACTCTCGGATCTTGAGTTTGTTTTGCAGACGTTTCATTACCCAACGAGGCAACACCATCCGCCCTACTAGGGAGACAGTGCTGAACATACCCCCGTACTCTGCCAATCTCATTGCCGGCATGTTGTACTCTTGACAATAAAGGTTGCGATTGAATGGAATTGGACTCTGGAGAGTTCATTTCGGTGGAGCTCTCGCCTTCACCAATCAGGAGGCTGCGAGTTCGATCCTTAATATTTGGATTAGGCTCTCCTGCTCGAGCAGGGGGGTCGGACTAGATGACCTCCAAGGCCCCTTCCAACTCTTTGTTATTCGAGGTCTAAATTCAGAATAGCGAGCTCTGTACGCACCACCTCCTGTCCCCATCTCTCTCTCTCTCTCCCCCTCTCCTAGCCACCTTTCCCCTCTCGGAAAGCCGCTCCGTCAGAAGCAGCCCCTCAGACTCGTAAAGGAGGAAGGGAAAGGGGGAGGGGGGGCGGGCGGGCTTGGCTACCTTCCAACAGCAGCGCCTCCAAGGTCCCGCGGTGATCTTTGGGGCTTTAGTCCGGCACCGGCTGTTTACAGCAGCAGCAGGGTAGGTTCGCACAAGCCTTCAACCGCAGGCGGCGATGGCTTTGCCTCGTCAAAACTTCCAAGCCCGGGACAGGTGAGAGCAAGAGATCCGCGCCCTGAAGCCTCCCCCTTCACTCCCGCTTGGAAGCCGCAGGAATCTCGGATCGCCGGAGAGAGCGCACGGCTGCTTCGCCTAGCGACCTCGAATCAGGAAAAGGCGACGCCGAGCCTTACAAGCGCAGCCCGGGCGGTCGTTCGCTCGAGTCCAAGCTGCCGCCGCGCACCTGGGCTCCGGGAGAGCGCCGAGGAGCGAGCAGCAGCCCTCCGGAGCTGCGGGACGGCTGGACGCTGTTGGCTGCGCTCGCCCGGACCTTCCGTCCCCTTCCAGCCGAGCAGTAGCGGCAGCAGCGGAAGCACCACCTCCTCCCTGCCCGACCTCCGCTCCAATGAACCCCTCGACCGCGTCTGGCCGGCACTATAGTAGCGTCGACGCCCCCTCGCCTTGACTCCGCCCCTCCAGGATTCTCTCTTTCGCCCCCCCACCCCCGCCCCCAAACCAACCAATCCCAGCCCTGGGATTGTCCACTTTGGGGTCGGGGCGGGGCCGCAGCAGGAGAGAAGTTTAAAGCGGAGGAGGGAGGGGTGTGTGATGGGAGTTGCTTGTCCGGAGCTTGGCTTTTCCCATGAAGTTAAGGAAGGTCGAATAAAAGTGGTCAGTGTCTTTTTTTTTTTTTTTTTCTTAAGACGGGGCCCGGTCCGCGTCTCTTCTCATGGTCCCCTCCTGCACTTTGGGGTCGCCAAAATGTTGGCTAAACAGAACGAGAGAGTTAGAAGGGACCTTGGCTTGGAGGTCTTCTAGTCCAACCCCACTTGCTTGGGCAGGAGGCCCTCTATCCAAATCAGGGGAGCCCCCCCCCCCCCCAAACTTGGCAACTTTGAAGACTTGTGGACTTCAACTCCCAGAATTCTCCAGCTCAGTAGCTGGCTGGAGAATTCTGGGAGTTGAAGTCCACAAGTCTTCAAAGTTGCCAAGTTTGGAGACCTCTGAACCAAATATGGTGGTTCTTCAAAGCTTCCAGTGTTGGAGCATTTGCAACTTCTGCGGGGAAGTCTGACTCTGTGGTTTCTTCCCACCCCCCCCCCCCCCCCCCCCAAAAAGCTTTAACCTTAGACTAATGACTTCACCCCTTTCCTAAGAGGCCTGTAGGGGGCGTGCATAAGTGCACCCAAACGTGCCTACCGTCCCTGTCCTATTGTTTCTTTTATATATATATTTTATTTTTCTTATATGTATCCATGTATTCATAACTATGTTTTTACTTATACCTATTATTTTGTAAGCAATTGACAAAACCGAATGAATGAATGCATGCATGAATGAATGAATGAATGCATGAATGAATGAATGAATAAAATAAACAAGTTGTTCCACTGATTAATTGTTCTCACTGTCCGGAAATTTCTCCATAGTTCTATGTTGTTTGTCTCCTTGATGAGTTTCCACCCTTTGCTTCTTGTCCTGCCCTCTGGTGCTTTGGAGAACAGCTTGACTCCTTTGTGGCAGCCCCTGAGATATTGGAAGACTGCTATCATGTCACCCCTAGTCCTTCTTTTCCTTAAACTAGGCATACCCAATTCTGGTTTACCAAAGGGGGGAAACGTCCTGATATGTCATGTGATGCTGCCATGATAACATGAGTTGGACAGTCCTAAGCTAATAGGACAATGTTTCCATCAATTCAAATTTCACTCCTTCATGTCAGCCACAGGGAAGAAGTCTCCCATTGCTTCAGGGGAGAAGTTGTATGGTCTTCTCAGTCTAGTCCAGGGGGTCTTGGTGTAGACCGATCATGTGACCACGTGTGGTGTAAAGTTCATCAAAGCCCCACACCTGTTTAATGAGCATTGTCATGCAAATGAAAAGGGGCAGAGCTTCAATCACATGCTTATGGCTGCCATCTTGACTTGGTTGACCAAACTTCCCTGCATAAAGTTGTTCCACTGGCTAATTGTTCTCGCTGTCAGGAAGTTTCTTCTTAATTCTAGGTTGCTTCTCTCCTTGGATAGTTTCCACCCATTGCTTCTTTGTCAGGTGCTTTGGAGAATAGGTTGACCCTCTCTTTTTTGTGGCAACCCCTCAAATATTGGAACAGTTACAATGTCCTTCGTTTCATTGAACTTGACATGTCCAGTTCTTCTTATGTTGTAGCCTCCAGTCCCCTAATCTTCACTGCTGCTCTTCTCTGCACTCTTTCTTATAGTCTTGACATTTTTTTTACATCATGGAGACCAAAACCGTATGCCGTATTCCAAGTGCGGTCTTAACCAAGGCATAATAGAATGGTATTAACACTTCGTGTGACGTTGGGTTGCCCTCCTGGGTTCCTTCATGAGTCAACGTGTTGATACCATGTGGGCAAGATGCCTAGTTATAAAGCCAAGAAATATGCTGGTACTTGAAACCTCTTCTGTGTGTTGATCAGCCTGACGGTTGTGCCCAGAAGTTGAGCAATTCTGTTTTGAGTGGGAATTCATTATCAGCTATTTAAGCAAAAAGGTCATTGAATCGTTCCTTCTGGTGGGAAATGCCTACGGCTCTGGCATGATGTAGCTCCTATGATGTGGATTTACTCAGAACTGTCAACAGGCTAAGACAGAGAGAACTTTCTTAAGAATTGCAACCGGGGAGGAGAGAAAAATTATATTCTCAGTGGGACTGTTGGTGCTGAATCATATAGTAGGTGATTGATGTATAAATAGATTGTTAGCTGTGGTTGCATCACCAGCTGAAACAATAACCCATAATGGCTTCCGAGTGTTACACTTGTTAGAGGTAACTGTACTGCAGGTTGTGATTACATCACAACAATTTCCAGTCAAAATAGGATTGACTAAATTGGATTCATTCAATGAACCACAGACAATTGGGCCATTAGATGAACATGCTGTCCTAATTTAGCCATTATAATATGGGAAGCATCGCTTATACTTCTTGTGAAGCCAGACAATGACAGTTGTGTATCATTGGTTAAAAAACAAGATTTAGTGTGTTGGGAGAATACAGACGTCATATTTTATGGGCATTCTCTGTTGAAAATGCTGTGTGTCCACATTGCTTTAAATCTTAACATTTAAAGTTTGTTCGGTTTCTGGTTTAACACTCTATTTGCAATACTTGCTCACCCATAATTAATACATGCAAGAGGCCCTCCACTTATGACTATTCATTTAAAGATTAATAGATAAACAGAGTTGGAAGGGATCATGTAGGGTCATCTAGTCCAACCCCCTGCCCAAGCAGGAGACCCTACACAATTTCTGACAAATGGCAGTCCAGTCTCTCTTGAAAGCCTCTAGTGATGAAACTCTTACAACTTCTGGAGGCAAGCTGTTCCATTGGTTGATTATTCTTCCTGTCAGGAAATTCCTCCTTATTTCTAGGTTGAATCCCCCCTTGTTCAGTTTCCATCTATTATTCCTTGTCTGGCCTTCGGGTGTTTTGGAAAATAGCTTGAATCCTTCCTCTCTGTGGCAGCCCCTCAAATATTGGAAGACCGCTATCCTGTCTCCCCTGGTCCTTGTCTTCACTAGACTAGCCAGGCCCAGTTCCTGCAACCGTTCTTCATATGTTTTAGTCTCCAGTCCCCTCATCATCCTGGTTGCTCTTCTCTGCACTCTTTCTAGAGTCTCTACATATTTTTTATAGTGTGGTGACCAAAACTGGATGTAGTACTCTAGGTGTGATCTTACTAAGGCTTTATAGAGTGGTATTAGTACCTAAAACCTGTTTTTCTCCCACCTTTCGTGGTCTTGTGTCCTGATTTTGGAACGAAGATTTGCTGCAACACCTTGACCTTATCCCCCTGTTAATGCAATTTAGAATTGCATTGGCTTTTTCAGCTGCCGCCACACACTTTTGGCTCATTGAATGAATCCAGTGAATAAATTCAATGAAGTTTGAATTGAATTGAGTTGAATTCATTCATCTACAACGGTTGCAGTATCCTGGGTCACATAATTGCCATTTGCAACCTTTCTTGCTGGCTCCCCACAGACAAAAGCCAATAGGGAAGCTGGATTAGTTTAATGACTGCAGGAGTGGGATTCAAATTTCTTAACAACTGGTTCTGTGGGTGTGGCCTAATTGTGGGTGTGCTTTGGTGGTCATGTGACTGGGTGGGAGTGGCTTGCTGACTGGGCATGGCTTGGTGGTCACGTGACTGGCTGGGCATGGCTTGTATGTAAATATTGTAAATATTTATGTAAACATTTAATTTTTTATTTTAAAAAAAGAGCAACTTTTACCCAAAATCAGACAAAGCAAGCAGGTGGATTGAGTTGCTCACAGAATCACAGATTCACTCAGAGATCTAACTTTCTACAATCTGCTACCTGAGTCTGCACTGAAAAATAGAAGCCTCAGTCCTAAAGATGGTTCAGCTCTGCTTTTAGATTAGCTAGAAAGCAAAAAAATCAAACAATTTTCTGCTTTCTAGCTAATCTGAATCTCCCGGCACAGCCGATAGTCGGAACAGCTGATGGTCGGGGGTTAAAAAAGGAAAAATAGAAACTTACCAAAAATTAGGTGAAGGCGCAAGGCAGGCAAGTTGGATGGCGCACATGCCAGGTAAGAAGTGACTGGGTAGAACGGGGTGGGGCCAGCCAGTGGAACAATTTGCCGCTTCTCCGAACTGCGCAGAATCATAACAAGCGGTTCTATAGAACCGGTTTGACCAGATAGAATCCCACCCCTGAATGACTGCATGATTCACTTAACAGCCATGGCAAGATCATTGGGTGCAACTCACTCAACCACATAACTCAGCCACAGAGATTCTGCTCTCAATTATAGTCAAAGACTACCTGTAATTGATTATTATACGTCTTGTGACTGCCCTCTGTGATCCTCCCAGCTGGCTTCTAGACAGGGGGAAGCCAGACATACTTAATGACCGCATGATTCACTTAACAACTGCGGAGATTTGTTTAACCGTGACAAAAAGTCATGAAATTGGGCAAGACTCACTTAACAACCAGATCGCTCAGCCATAAAAATACTATTTCCAATTGTGGTCCTAAGTCAAGGAGTGTAAACCGAGCCAATTGTGCC